CTAATGGCTTGAACCACGGTGGATTTTCAAAGCAGTCTGCCAGAATGATTTGTTGTGGAACTTGCGCCACTACGGTGTCAAATTGCAACCCAGTTCAGGAGTCAGAAATTGATACACATCTTTACAGCTCTAAGGTGAAATTACAAGCTTAAGCACTATTTCTCCCCAAAACAAAAAATAAAATCTAAGAGACACAATAAGGTTACAAAATGTGAAAATAATAAAGCCTCTTCATAAATAGGTGACTACCTTTTTCCCAGTTACTGGAGAATGTTGATAAAGAAAGGGAATGAAATAACAGAGAATGAGACCTAATAGGGATTTTGCAAATGGTTTATCTAATGATGTTGTGACAGTTTTCTCATTTCAGTGGCCTGCTGTCTCATATCCTGCAGTCTTGTCATCTTTCACACCAGAAAAAGAGTTATGAAAGAAACTACACACGATTGGGGATACCAAGGGAGGCTTATACACCTGACGTTACATTCATTACAATTTGTTGTCGACAGTGAGTCATTTGCAATTGCAAAAGTTTGATAAGTTCAGAAAAATAAAAAAACACAATCACCTTAATTGTTCCAAAGACTCAATTCTCAACATCTTGGTTTGAAATAATACTTTTATTTGACATTACATAAAATGCATTTTGTAATGTCAAAATGAGCTGGCAAACATCTTTAAAAAATAAATGAATGTGAAACATTAGGGGGAAAACGACATTAACACCAAGGGCAGCTTTTATACGGAGGAAACAAAAGCAGATGGCCACAAATAAAATCTACACTAGGGATGCATAGCGTCTGATTTTTCATTCTACTTTGTAGGCAATGAACCGAAGCCTAAGTGATCTTTGCTTTTCTATGGTGATAATTCTGCCATCTGCAGATGTAGACTTTATATTTTGAGGTGATCCATAAGTGACTAGTATGGACACAGAATCTATTCAGGGAACAAATCAAATTTCTTGTCTTAACATTATTTTTACACTAGAATTAAGTTTTGTTTTCCTTTTTAGATTATTTCCAGATGACTGAGAACATTTAAATAATGCATCCTTATGTCTGATTTGCCATAGATATACTGTGATACACAACTTGCATTGTGAGCAGAAATATAAATCCTCAGTTTGTTTCAAAACAACACATCAAACATGCTGGGTTTTTTTAAGGTCTGATTTCATTTTGATGTCTAACTTTCAGATGAGAGGAGAGACTTTGTCTTGTGCTGCCTCACAAAGTAAATGGCATGTAATAAGAGTGGAGAACTGAGGTGTCATGAGTTGAGAGAAGTATCCTGTCATATAGAAAAAAAGGTGGCACAGCGTTTTATCACCAGTGTGGAAAGAAAGTCATTAGGGAGTCTGAAATAAAACTCTGACAGCTGTCTGTCAAAAGCCTGTTGTCAATATCCTGTTTTTTTTTCTTCTTTTTTTTCTTTTACATACTTGGTCTTTAACTGTGGCACAGAAACATAACAGAAGAAAACAATGTCTAATTTTCGCAAGTAATATTTAATTTTGAAACAGTTGTGCATGTTTTTCTAAATGCATGGGCTTTTCTCAAGAATTATTCTAAACCACAGCTGGAGTAAGTCTGTAAAGATTTTAACTGTACAGTACCAATCCTCGGTTATGGCTGGTGCAGATGTCTAATTACAGACTAGCAAAACACCCTCATAATTACATCATCCATTTCCAGTTCCCACAAACGCTGCCTCTTTTCTGTTACGTTGGTATAAAGGAGCTTTGTTCAATGAAGCCAAATACTGGATGTGTGGCAATAAATAACAAGTGGAAGATGTGAAGCTCTTCTTTCAAAAGGGACATTTGATGATTGAGTCTTTGGTTATGTTTCCAACATTTGCTTTTCTAACATTTAGGTATTTATTTTCTGATCTTGTTTTTTTTTTTTTTTTTTTACATGTTACATCCTGTCTTTCACATTTCTTGCCTTTCAGCTTCCTTTCACTTTCAGCTTCATTGCCTTATCACAAATGAGAGAAGTATCCTGAAATAATGCTTCATTGCCTTATCAAAAAAGATAAGGCAATGAAGTTGAAAGTTTTGTTTGCTTTTTTTGGTTCTTTCTCTGCAGCAAAATTTTACACTTTAGTTTCAGGAAAAAACAAAAACAAACAAAAAAAAAACAACCATCACAAACAAACAAAGCTTGTTTTAGACGTTTTATTCAGTAGGGAGAACAACTCATATTAGAAAATGATTGCTTTAATTAAAATAAACATGGCTGGAGAACCTTTTATTTAAAATATACTTTTCAAAGATATAGTTTTCAAAAGACTTTCTTCTCAGACTTTAATTGCACCATATGTTTTGGTCAGAGCATATTGTTTGGCAACACATTTCGGAGCCCAAAAAATTATAAATATGTTAAAAAGGAGCTTGTGGCCACTCTTAAGTATGTTAGTGGTAATGCTTCTCTTAACAGAGCAATTTAAATAAAATTAGTCACTGGGAATTTACTACAAATGAAAGATTACAATTAAATTACAATTATTCATAAAAATGTATATTTTTTCATGACTGTCACAGTTCCCGTACTCGTGCAAAACCTGTGAAGTAGATTTGTTTTGTCTTGCCAATCTAATCTAGTGTTTGTGCAATGAGAAATAGCCCAGGATTCCTCTCTCTGTATCCAGCAGCCTTGTCGAATGTCTTAGAAGACTGAATGCTACCTTTTTGACTAAACAACAGTGCATTGTCAAAAAACAGTTCTAACATTTGTGCTGTTGTTGACTTTATTTTGCACAATTGTACGTTCCTAGGAATTTTTTCCTAGATTTACTCAAGCCAGAGGTTTAGTTGTTCTATATTTTTTTTGTGAGACAAGATAATTGGATAAAAGTTGCATTAACGCTTCTTACACAGCCTTACCAGGGGCGTCAATAAAGGTGTCTGGCACTGTTAAAAATGGGATGACTTGTGGAGTGTTTGCTAATAAGGCTTCCCCCGATTGCACAGCAAAACCTTTAATCTAAGCCTATAAAATACATTTTTGATAGATGTGCTTCTCACCAAAAACTTTATATAGTGAAGACATGAAATAAATTATAAAAATAATTACTGAGCATTAAAGAAGATGGCAGCTAGCAGAACACATTGATTAGTTAAGCTCTGGGAAATGCAATAAACAAATATTCAGCATTGGAAATTAATGCCTATTCCAAGATGTTTTTGCTCATCAAGAACTAAAACACTTAGTTCTCCGTTATTTGTGAAAATCAAACATTCTTTTCAATCTAAATCATGAATGAGGCAGTTAGGGAAAATAAGGTGTGTTGCATCAGCCTTCAGTAAAAATTTAGCTAGTTAGTTATGTTTACCAACATGGACTGCAGCCAAAATGAGGTTTAACAAGCTGGAGTATTATAAATGCACCAGCAAATCATCAGGCAGGCCGGGATTACTTCGATGAGAACCGAACTGTATAATTGCCGACCATACAGATGTTTTATAATCACTTTATGTGAGCAATTTAAAACTCCCTGTGGGATCCAAGTCTCTCTGAGGCTAATCCATGGTGCTCTTTACGGTAATCCATTCAAATAACTCTTCTCCAGTGTCATCGATTAGAAATTCAGGTTGATGGAGGAGCTGGGACTATACAGCATGATAGGGCTAAAACGCTGGTAACTCAGACCGAGGAACATTCATTCCAATGACTAATGACTTGAAATGAGTTGTAATTTTCACTCTGGTTGTACAATTAGGACACAAAACACAAAATACGTGTAGACATACACGGAGACGTGCATATGCAAAGTTGAAACATCTATGTATTTAATTTCCAATTAATATTTATTATTCTCTTTTTATTTGAAAGACAATACACAACAAATTATGGAAAGTTTTATTGTATAACCAAAAAAGACTTCTTTTCTTACTTTTTACAGTTCAGAGTCATTGGCGAAGCTAATAACACAAGGGAATAAATGATTGGAAAAAAAAAAAAAAACTTTTGATTTCTGTTGAACCATGTGACAAATGTTATAATAAATCCAAAGGGCACCTCCTATTGCTTTTTGTTACATGACATCTGAGTAACATGTGAGTCAGCTGTGCTAAAAGGTTGTACCAGTTAGGAAAACAGATTGCAAGAAAATGAGTCTGTGGTGATTCACAGGGTCAAATCTCTTTAGTGAGGTCCACTTAATTAGCACTAACTCTTAGGAGTGCACATGCATCTCCTGACTCTGTTCCTACTCTAGCCATCGAAAGCCTTCACTTGTTGCCCAGATACAAAAAGGAAAAAAAGCCTAAACTGTTTTCTTTAATTTATTGAAAAACTAAAAGCAGCTTGCTTATAAAATTATTGACTCCTTTATGAAAGATCAATATTTAAGATGACGCAGAGACTAAAATCTATTCCATAAAAAAAATACAAGGTACAACAGAATTTCCGATTTAATAAAACAAACCAAAAACAGGCAGTGTTGGACATGTAGCTTTGGATGACTCATGTCTCTCTTTGGCTCAAATACTGTAATTAGAAACATTTTTAATTAACATTTAATTTGATTAAAGACTAATTAGTTCCAAATTAACAAAAGTAATTACACACTCAGGTCTGTTTCATATATTCATTCACTTTTATAGGCATAACTGATACAAATTTGCATTCAGTCCTTAAAGAGTGAAATGTACAGAAAATGCACCATTAATAAGAGGAAAGTTACATTTTTAAGCTGTCATAAAACAAAGGTAAATTAGGTAAAATTGTTATTTTGCTCACCTTTATGCTAAAACTGTCACTGTGTAACTTACAACCTCAACACAGCATAAATCCCAGAGGGACACTCATGCTGTCCACACTCAGGATGACATGTCCTTTAAATGACTTGGCTTTGGCACAGTACTGTTCTCGTCATATGTATTGACCAGCGGATTAGTAATGTGATCCTCTTAGGAGTACGTTTGCTCATGCAGAACCTTTGCTGAAATAAGTTATGTACACATCTGTGCTAAACACCTGTACAGTACTTACTGCTGGAATCTGGGGTGGACTCCTCAGTTAGAGAACACATCCCTGATACTCTCCAGGAGGGCAGATCTTTCTGGATTTCTCTTGCTGATTTCTGCAAACAAAGATTGATAAAGACGCATGGAAATGCTCTTCCTTCTGCAGATGAAAGAGCATCTGGAGAAGGAAGAGTATTCCTTCTACATTGAACTGATTTTCCCCAATAACTCTGTGTTTAGAGGATAACCTTCTTTCTCTTCGCAGAGTCAAAATTGGTTTCAGGACTAGGTTTTTTTCACCTCATTAACCCTATCTAACAAGCGTAAGCTACTGAAATCCTCTCTTTCAGTTCCTGGTCTTACGAAAGTTAGTTTTACTAATTAATCAAACATGGAACTTCCTCCTACCTCTCCATCATCATAATGACTTCCCTACAAAGCGAGTGAGAATGCATACGCTGCCCCGGGGAAGGCTACTTTGGCACATCTTTTATGCATTTTTATTGGAAACTGAAGTAATGACATCAAAAAAGGTTGCACAAAGGAAATATGGAGACTTTGTATTCCTGAAATAAGCTTAATGGAGATGAAACACAATTCCTTTATTACTTGGTTGTCTTTTATTCTTTTTGGTGTATTTCTGTTTACAGACCAGCTACAGAATGCTGCAATCTAAGTTTGCAATTTTCCTTCCCACATAGACACATCGTAGCGCTCAATTTATACCCTGTCTCTTCCAAGCAAAACAGTTTGATGCTCTCATATCTTTTGATTCATAGTGTGCGGCAGGCTGTACCAGATGAAAAGCATGGGCAAAATCTAATCTTCATCAATCAGCAATGTGAATCTGCAAGTTTTTGCTAAATAAAAAGACAATAGTTAATGCAATTTAATTAGCTACCAATATGCATTTAAGAGAAAGAGGTGATAGTTAAAGTCGCCTATATCAGCTGCATTTCTGCAAAGAACCATGGGAACACAACACAGCTGAACCAAGAGAAAAGGGTAGTTTGGGAGTCTTCAGCTGTATTCTTTTAATTACTCATCATAATGACACCATTTAGCTGTTCAATGACCCATTTCACGGCATTGAACAGACATGGGAAGCTCTCCGTCCTTGGCAGGGTCAGTTCTGCAGCTGCCCCTACTGCCATGTTTTTTTTTTTTCCCATTGGGCTTTGGGAGGCAGGTTCCTCTGTCATTTTCTCTCAAACACATTTACACTTACACGTGAAAGTCAATGCCACAAATTAGGTATGGTTAAAATGTTTCTCCACGAGGGACATTGGTTCAGAAAGGTGCTCATTATGTGGAAGGAATATAATTATGATTGTTTCAGGGCTTCAGATAAGAAAAAGTATGTCATATAATCATCTAGCATGAAAAAATATCTTTATGAACAGTTGAGATATTAGCATATAAGTAAATTTAGGCTTTTACAAAAATATTTTTTTCTTAAAATTCAGTCTTATTTTGACACAAATTTGACATTTCTTGTAAGCATTAACATAGCAGTCTCATGCACTTTTCAACAGAAATACTCAACACAATAACATGATGGAATTTTAACAGGTTACTCTTTATTGTATCCTCTGACCTGGAACACTATTACAGTGTTTATCCTGAAAACATGTTTAGAAAATTATGCTATGAACATGTTCTATAAACATTATTTGTAAAAAAAAAAAAAATATATATATATATATATATATATATATATATATATATATATATATATATATATATATATATATATATATATAAATATATATATATATATATATATATATATATATATATATATATATATATATATATGCAACATAGTTAAAACTGTTTTTTTTTAAATTTTTTTTTATCTTTGTCTTTTAGGATTCAACTCCAATTGTGAAAGAAGAAAAATTATTAAATTCAAAACCTCATGACTTTGGGTTTGAAAAGTTTAATATCTTCCTTTTCCTCCTCCTTCCAGGTTGCTCTACAAAGGTTCAGTTTTCTCATCCAGATGTGCTTTCTGCATGTTGAGAAAGTTTAAAAAAAGCATTTAATGAGGCATTTTGTTGGTAGTGGGGTGTGCCAGGGATGCTTTTATGGGCTTTTGGTTATTCATTTGCAGAACCTGTAGGTCTCATTTTTGCTTTATGCACATAATGTGGTTTTGCTTGTGATTCCATTGGTATTCAGCCATGTGTGGAAGATATGAATCAGTTCAAGTTCTCAACTGACTCCCTCCAAGTACAGGATATATCTCTGTCTCAAGTGGGAGAGATTGGGGTCTCATCTCTAGTAATGCAGACACAGCTCTGCTCTGTTGTGGTGAAGAAAAGAACCAACAAACAGAGATACTGATTTAACGCTTTGTCAATGTTCCAACCCTCAGTTATCATCACGTTGTGCTGTCCTGACTGAAAGCACAAGATCCTGCATACAAGCAGCTGAAATAAGCTTTTCCCTTAGGGTTGCTGGGCATGGTTTAAGATTTAAAGGTAACAAGCTCTGTCACCCAGGGGTTACTTTTGAGTAGAGCCAATGCTCTTCTTCACTGAAAGGAGTCTTATGCTGTGATTTACGTATTTCATTAGGATAGTGACTCTTCAGAGATTTTCTGTTCATGTACTGTTGTGAGGAGACTGGGAATAGACCTACACACTGAAGGAACTATAGACTGTTTTTGGTGTAGGAATGGCTTGAGATCCCCACAATGGATTAATATTTAAAAATCATAATGGTAAATATCAACTAAGCAAGCATTCATTCATTTCCAATAATGTGTGTAGAGATTCTAGCTTAAAATCCATGTCAGTTTATCACACACACCAACATCCAATAGTCTTTATGTTCTTAACATCCACTTATCCCGGCAAGTCTTAACAGAATCCTGTCTGGATGTTGACAGGATTCTGTTTTATTTTACTCTTTATCTTTATCTCTTGTTAATGTGTCCTGTGTGTCTTATTCAACCATAACCAATCCATTTTCCATGTGTAGATTTATTTTTAAAATTTCCAAACATTCTTAGCAACCAACTAACCTGTATAACATATCTAGACTTAATACTCACTGGAGAATGTCGTGGAAGGATTGTCTGTTCATTAACATTTATGACCAAAGGGTGCAAGAAAGCTTTGGTAGGTGATGAAAGGCAAGTGACAATTTCTTGGCAACTGTGAAAAGGATTTTTGCAAATTACATGAGTGCAAATGGATTTTTGTGTTGTGATAAATTGTTTTTGCATCATCTACCCTTGTAATACAGCCTTTTATTATCCCCATGAGGGTACGACAACAAACCACCATTAGTTTAGCAGAAGAGGTTAAGTTTCCACAATTGCTACCTTGTTATTCTGAATTATTATTGATTTTTTCACTGGTTCACACTACTCACAATGCTGCAGATGAAAATGGAGAAATGTTGTACTTCTCTGGGCAGCCATCAGGTGAATAGTCCCTACATAAAGACTTTTTGTGCTCAAATTTTCTCCATTGGCTCTGCAGTCTTTAATTTCTTGAACAATATTGGAATAAAAGCAAAACATCTCTTTTCACATCCAGGTGATGCTTTTAGGAATGTTTTTCTTTGCTGCTTTTGATTAGTCTTTTAAACCTCATAGAGCATTTCTGTATCAAATGTATTTGCCCATAATACAGATCACATTACCTGTATGATATTAATAATAAATAATATTGATTACTCCTTATCTGCCATTTGGTCTAAAATTGTACGGGGCTCCAAGCTGAATTAAACTTAACTCTTCCGGTAAAGAATATTGCCACCATTAACAGTATTTAATACAGAGTTGATCGAATAGGAGAGAAGCCTAGAGTAAGTTTAAGTCTGTTAGCAGATTCACTTTTGGCAGAGTGTTAAATGTGACACATATTAAACACATTTAATGCGCTACACATCCTTTGTTTGAAGGAGAACACCTTTTGTCTCACACAAGTGTGTCAAATTAGACGTCATATTATGTGACACATAATAAACCAATAGAAAACCAAAATAAACAAGTGAGAGAATTAAAAGACAAAAACATCCATAATGGCAACAAATTTCCTGAACTTAAAAACAGTCACATGTAATTGATTATTATTTTGATTATTATTATTTTGATTATGATTATTATTACATATGGTGCAATTAAAGTCTGAGAAGAAAGTCTTTTGAAAACTATAGCTTTGAAAAATATATTTTAAATAAAAGGTTCTCCAGCCATGTTTATTTTAATTATTTTATAACAAACTGAGCTCAAGAACAGTTTAAACTCAACATTTTATCTATGTTAGTACAACAAAGTATGAAGATTACTTTTTCCATTTGAACTTGTAAAATTCTCACTTCTTCAAAATCTTAAATTTTAAGCCATTTAAAATCTTTCAGTATCACGGATCACCGCTTTTATCTGCTTTTGCTTAGAGCCTATTCAATATGAACATGCACATTATTGTTCTCAAAAGACATCTTTATCTTGCTATGTCTTTTTTTTTCTTTTCAGAAATAATTAGAAACATAAGGATGGAGAAATATGTACAGGAGGAGAGATGGTGATTGTGGTGGGGGGTTCAGGGCGGTCAAGGTGGTGAGGAGCAGCAAACCCAATATGGAGTGAAAGAGCAGAGGGTGTCTGGCACACATCCGTGATGCTGACCTAGAGCATTCAAAGGTTGAGCTTTGGCATTGATCTGACTGATTCTGCACAGCTGTTGAGGTGCAGAGGAGTGCGCGTAGATATGAGGACAAAAATAGATTGCTGTGGTCCACAGCTTGATGATGGTGTTCCGAATTCAAATCACTGTCAGGTAATTCTGTCCCATGATAACTTTTAATGAGGTAATTTAGGATGACAATCTACAGCTGTTCTATGAAAGGTAGGAATGCTGCAATGCACAAACATGCACAAAGTTTACATAGAAAACAAGTTTTTATGTTCATTTTGTGAGACTTAAAAATGTTGACGGCAAAAGTTGATGAAGAGACTGAAGTTTCCAAAATTTACTTGTATATTATTACATAATGTGTTCCTGGTGCCAGCATTCTGTTTCAAATGTTGCTCCACAGTCTGTTCAGTAACTTTATAAATGTTGTTTGCAAAGCTGTAAAGAGAAAGAAGATGAAACAA